ATTTCATCCTTGCCTAACACACACACACTCTGCCTTTTATTATATTAGAATTTCAATTTGATAAATGCATGGTAATCTAAGTGCCTCTGCCTTAACAATAAAAAACACATCCCTCTACTCTTAAGAACATTCTGATTTCTTGGTAGTAGAAACCACAACTTTTGCCTTCTGATATAACGAGGAGTGAAAGGGGAACATAGAGGATAAAAGCCACCTTTTTAAAAGGCATGATTTTGACAACCTGAGATAAAAGACAGGAGTTACTGAATGTGCCATACTTTATACTGATAAGACAATTTGTCCAAGGATGGACTTGTTTTAAATAAGTACAAATTCGCATGTGCTTCATTGCTATTTTCTGGATAGTTGTTGTAGATTCACAGATATAGGCCCAGATCCTCAAAGGTTGTTTTGTGTCTCACTTGTATTTGAAGCCTAACTTTTATTGAAATCAGTTGTGTATCTAACCAGGATGGAGGCACCTTTGAAGGTCTGTGCCCTGGATACAGAAGCTCTGTTCCTCAGAGCAGCTTCATCATGGAAATATTCAGGATCTCAACCACGACTTACTAGAGTGGGATTCTGCAGGTCCTATTGCTCCATATCAGCTCATCCTCCTCCATGCTCCTGTAAACACCCACCTAAACACTTTTGCCTACCAGGCCTACTTACCCATCTCTGCCAGAGTCCGGCTGCTGTAAGCAAGCTTTCAGAGAAAATAATTTCAGAGAAAATAATACCAGGGGCACCAGTTGTATGGGGGTAGGCAGAACAGGGTTTTGAAATAGATGAGAAAGGCTTAAGGCCTTCAATGGATAAATGACTTCGGGTGTACTTGCAACAATTGTTCAGTGACCAGAGTTCTGGATGAGTGCTAGTCACAATTACTTGTCTCTGATTCTTGTGAGAGCCCCATTGCAGAAAGAGGAGGCTAGTGGAGGGCATCAAGGAAGGTACATTGACAGTAGCGTATGTAGTAGTTTGCAAAGCAATGACTTGCCTGCAGCCAGTTATTGATATATCGCAGTTTCATGCCGTCAAGAAAAATAAATAGTTTCCCTTTTTCTCCCTCTAGAATGGGCAATTTCACACTATCTATAGCAGTTACAGCTGTGTGTTTATTATGCATCTTTACAGTCTACCACATACATAATGGCTTAAAAATTACCTATTTATTTATGTGCACAACAGGCCACGGTGTTTCCATAACATATGAGTCTTTTGTATCAATGCTCATACAATATGAAGAGATTTTTATCTGACCTGTCCCTAACTTGTGTTATTGGAGATAAGGCTCACCTGTAATATTTCCAAATCTCTAAGGACAGTATGTACAGTAATAGACTGAAGTTTTGATATTGTGCTAGCTATTCTGGTCACTCATTGTTTTCCCATGGGTAAATGCAAGGGATGTTTAGATAGATAGATAGGCTTTAGTTATCCTCTCATTTGTGTCTGTACAAAGCAGTGAAGCAATAGCATTACATTAGGAGGATGTATGTGAGGAGAATTAGGCTCTGGGTACAAAAAGAGATGGACAATAGATTTAGATTCAGGCCTGGGTTCTCAGTAGCTTAACTGGGGGTGCACCAGCCTAGGTGCTGACTATGAGGGGGCACCAGAATACCCCCTGGGAGTCTTTGCCACAGCAGAGGAAGTGCTGCACTGCTCAGCCATAGGATCCAGGCAGCACTGCCCCACTGCCAGCAGTGTATTTGCGGGGCAGGGGATGAGTGGAGCAAGTGGAATGGCACTCCCCTGGGGAGATTTTGTCACAGGAAGCACAGCCCTATGCCCAACAGTGCATCTGGAGGGTGGGGGAGAACAAATGGGGCACCAGGTGCAACTCCTAGAGAGCCCACACCACAAGTCTGCTGCTGTGGAGCTGATGCTGCTATAGCCATAGCAGTGGTAGCAGCTGCAGTCAGTGCGCAGAGAGCGTGGGCAGATAAGAGATCCCTTCCCCTTGCATCCCCATCACCCTCTCATAGTTTACAGTGGTTGGCATATCCCCCACCCCCTGCGAGCACTGAGTGAACTTGCTACCCCTCTGCAGGCTCTAGTTCTGCTTTGTCACCCTGGCCCAGATGTTTCTCTATGTCTCCTTCACCCTTGGTAAACTAGGAACTCTCTCTTATTATGTGCTTGTGCAATGAATAGCACAACTGAGCCCTGACCTTGGTTATTATACAAATAATAATAGTAAAAGAAAATGCTCATTGCCAAGACCTTTACAGAATAAATTAACAGGAGATGCCTTCTCTTTGTGGCTTCTATTTGATGGTAAATGTTAATGAGGATAAACAAAGCAAGGCACAGCTAGCCCTGAGAAACCTAATCATTGCAATGCTGCCTGAAGCAAAAAATGGAGATAAAGTATGATTTCTTCATCATTATGCACACAGGTGTTAAGGATCTGGGACATTCAGCATCAGCTGTGCATCCAGAGAGTTGCTGGCTCCTTCCCAAAGAGTCTGGAATTCCAGTCCACCCTTTATTTTAATGAAGCTCATGGACGGCTCTTCATCTCATTTAATAACCAACTGATGGTGTTGGAAATGAAGCAGGAAACCAATAGAAGGGTCACAAGTCATAGGAAAGCTGTTACTTGTGTGCTTTACAATTCGGTCTTCAAGCAGGTAAGGGGAAAAAAGAACCTTTCTGCAGTTTCCTGATAAGGGACTTGAAACTGTGCACCTCGACAAGATGATTTTCTTAATTTGATCTCAGAAAGTGAAGTGAAAGAGGGAGATAGAGAGACCTTTTGCTTTGGAAAGGAACTTACACTGATGCCTGGTAATTATGATGTTTGTGTGACTTTCCTGCAAAGGACTATGGGTGTTCCAGTATCCCAACAGTGTAGTTTAACTGATAAAATACCTGAATTTCTTACACTTCTGTCATTTGAAAAGCAGTTTAATTTCCAATAAAGGTTCAGTGTTATAAAGAGATATAAAATATCCATATACCCAGTGTTTCAAAGAAACACCCATAATAAAAATAACATCCCCACTGTGAGATGTTCCAGAGTTATCTCTGTGGAAAACCAGCCCTGCTATGGCTGCAAATTGCAAATGAACTTGGTTAGAAAATTCCTCTTTATAGCCACCTTACTGTATCCCCAAGGATAGTTCTGAAATATGCATGAAATGTAATTAGTGAAGATCCATTTTTGCCAGCACATTTTACACAAGTAGCTCACAGTGGCAGACCTGGATGTATTCATAATAAAATGATTCAGTTAAATGTAATACCACTTGGTATGCAGTGTGAGTGTTGTTTGTCTTCACAGTACTTTAATGATGCACTGCAGTCTTTGGTATTGGAGCACTACCTGCATCTCAATGAAGAGCCACAGTTGCTATACAGGGAAATGCCTCTGTGATAGATTTTCCTGAGCTCTGCCCAAATGGCCTCTTTTATCTACAGGTTGAGATTCAGCAAAGGCAAACCTCCTAGCATATTGTGGGATGATCTGGGATATCAGCAGATCATCATGGCTTTTTGTAATCATTTATTTGGTACAAATGCATGTTTAAAGCATGACAGAAGTGCTGCGGTCTGACTGAAAAAGGGCACCTATCCTGAATGCTTTAAAAACATGCCTCACTATAAATAAAACAAAACCATACTGTTTTGGTGGGGCAGAATCTGAATTTCTGTTAAAAATAAATATTTGTATTTCTTAAAGCTTTCCCAGCTAAAGCTAGCTCACTGTTTTATTCTTGAAAATATTACTGTACTTGCTCTCTATTACACGCTTGTGCATTTAGGGAAAGTCCCTTTACATACAACAATTTTTTTTAATACCATGCACAGAGCTGTATTTAGTTATAAATCACGGCAGGTTTTGCAGCTGGTCATTCTCTTAGTCAGGTTCCTTACATTACCATTTGATGCTCTGGAAGTTTCCCATTGCAAAATGTGTGGATTTAGATGAGCAAAGCCAAAGTGTGAGATGGGACCTCAAGAAGAATTCCTTTCAGGATGCAGGCGGTGAATTAGGCAGGTTAATCACCAGTGAAACTTCGTAGCAGGTAAGATTCTGCGCCTGCATAAAGTCCCGTGGAGTCATTGGGCTCAATCTGGATGTAGCAGGCCAGCATACATATCCTGTTGCAGAACAGGCCTGATGATAACTCTTTTCTACATCTTGTGCTTTGATCCAGTCAGAGTGCACAACTGAATGTGGTTGGGCTGGGTAAGCATTTGACTAGGTGAGACTTTCTGACTAGGTCAGCGATGCTCAATCTCTGGCCCAGAGGAGTGACAGGGGTCAGTCCACGAGCCAGATACCATGTGGGGTTGGCATGTGGGGTGGTTCCTTAGGTACAATCCGGTGCACTCTTGGCCCTGCATGCCACATCCATCTGCTCACTGGCCTAACTCCACCTGCCAGCCTGATCGTGTGCTGGTACAACCCTGTGTGCCCTGATCCAGCCATGCACGGGTGCATTCTAGCCTGCAGGGCCATGTTATCTGGCCCACTGGGCTCCCTTCTGGCTGCAATATGGCAGCAGAGAAATGGCAATTAATGTTGCCACAGATCTCCTGTCTGTCTCCAAAGGGTTGGATGGCATGGCTCTGCCAGCTGGATCTGGCCCGCAGGCTAGAAGTTGAGCACTGCTGAGTAGGTCATTCAGGAGAAGGATTTTGCTTTAGCTCTGAAGCAATGCCTCAGCTTTAGTGGTAGGGAGAAACATTCTGCTAAAGGTACTTCATTATTAAGATATGAAACGGAAGTCTTGACCTCTTGCAACCAGTGGAGCACATGTGGTATTATGGGGAGAGTAGGAGTGTAGGTGTCCTGGGCTGATTTCAGTTCTGCATGTTGAATTTTGCCTGTCTAAATGCCTCTCACAATTTTAGTTGGCTGTTTCTTATTCCTTTCCTGCCTGGAAGAGAGATAGCTACAGTACAGTGGTGAATGGTGTAATCCCAAGTTTTCAAAATATTGTAGGAAGCAAAGATTTACTATTATCATTGCTGTCATCATCATCATCATCATTGTTGTCATCATCATAAAAAATATTGCCTATTTAGGGGACCAAGACATGGTAGGTGTACTAGCACTGATGACAGGGAGTGCCATTGATTTCTCCCCTTGTGCTAGTCATTAGGAGAGTAGGGGTTTGCATGTGCGTGCAAGAAAGCAAGCATCAGAAAGGGATGGATAAAAGCGGTGTGGTAGATTCAAGGGGAAAGCTGGAGCTAAGAAAGATGTGAAGAGTGAAACAGAGAGGGAAGTCCTGAAGGAGAAGACAAAGGGGAGAGGAGAAGATCCCTGTTCAAAGGTCTCTATAAATTCATTTCAATATTCTTTACCTTTCCCTGTGAAAATCATGCGTGCTTACCCCAGCTGCTAAATCAGCCTTGGCAATATTTATCTACTGAGCCTGAGTGCCTGCTTCTGAATGAAGCAGTACAGGTGTGTTGGTGTCTGGGCTAATGAACAGCACATGTTTTCAGTTTAGAAGCTGAATTTAAAGCCTTGTGAGAGTCACAGAAAATGGGGATAGAAGAGGGGAGATAGGTGTCCTTTCAAGACAAAGCCATTCTAAAGAAACCTTTCTTTTAAAGGACAAATACTTGGCTCATTCTAGATGTTCAGACTTAGCTTGGTAATAAAACTAGGCAGATCACAGCTTTGAAACACAGGACAGACCTTAATTTGGACAACATCTGTCTGATGTGGGTATTATATTTTCCCTGTGAATGCATTTGTTCACTTCTAAAAGAATCAGCACAAGTGTAGTACTCAAAAAAAGGGAAGGGAGGGTGCAAAATAGTAGGTGCCAAACAGAATGGGATGGCAGTAGGTTGTGGATACCTGGGTGTTATGCTGCAGAATGATCTTGGGCAAGTCTCTGCCCATTTTCTTTTCCCCTCTTTGTCTTTCCCTTCAGACAGCAAAATCCTCTTACTAAATGTCCAGACTGTGCTGAGGCAAGGTACTCACCTTGGTGGAGGTTTCTAGGCACTACTGTGGGGAAAAAAAGGGAGAGAAAGGATGTGCTGCTGTAAATTGGGGGGAGAGTACGTTTTGTGTTCAGGTGTCTAAAATGCTATTGTACATGGAGCTCATAAATACAAGTCCTGCTTTAAAAGTGGAACTGCCTGCTATTGATACACTCATCATTTGTTCTGAATGATAGTCAAAGGAGAGGTTCCCCTGTGAACTGAAATCCAAATTTCAAATCAGAAATGCCTCTGGTAGTATATGGATCAGAGCCCATACCATTAAGTCAGAGCATTTAAAAACTCTCTAATTGCTATATATCTATCTATTCTTTGTTCCTCTCTCTGATTTCTGCATGGAGCATGTGAACTAACTGTTGCAAAGACTCAGAGGAGCAAAATAAGATGTTGCCGCATGGTGATTTGGGAATGGATGTTTGAACGCAACACCTGCTGGTTTTGACTGTGATGAGCATCATGCATTTGATAGGAAATGTTGTATGTTTACTCTGTTTTCTGAATTAAACACATTATTTTCCAAGGAACCTTGTAAGAAAATAATACCTGGGGGAAACAGAAAAGAATCGCTCAGAAAGGTTTAAAATACAAAAATCTAATAGTCTGCTTTGCAATGACCCAGCTTCTGCCAGAGAGAAAATCACTCCCTTGCATGTATAAGCAACATAGGAAACTTAATGAAATAAGTATGCAGCATGTAAAAAAAAAAAAAAAAGTCTCAATCACTTATTAAAACTTAAACAGCAACTACTTCATTTCAATAGACTTACACTTTTAACAAGCCATTAGTTCTTTTTGGCCAATTCTCAATAATAATTGTTCAAGAATTGCCATTAGAATACAATGGTGTTGGGTGGAGAATGTGGGCTGTCCAAATGCTATAGCTTATTGCATTTGTGGTCAGTAGTTATAAAATTCTCCTGGATGCTGGCAGGTGCAGTATTGGACTTACATTCTCAAGAACAAGAGCATTTCTTGAAATGTGAATTAGAGTAGGAGAGAAATTTGATTTTGTTTCTAAGATTGCTGAGGAATCACTGATTAGCATTTCTTAAATTAGATTGGAATGGGGTTACAGACTCCTTGCTAGTAGAAATAGATGACTATTGTGGAGCATTTGATTTTAACCATGAGGAAAAGTGTTTTGAAAAGAACAAACAACGAAAGTATCTCCACTTAATTTTCAGTAATTTCTGTACATGAAAAACCTTAACACAGTGACAGGTTTTCATTTAATGCAGTCACTACTTGCTATCCTAGTAGTATCCCAGACCAATGTTGCATAGTTATTTTCTATTCTAAGAAAACAGATAGAACTGTAACAACGTATTAGTCATTAGTTTTTTCTTACTGATGACCCCTGCATCCAAGAAAAAGCATTGTGGGGTTTGATCCTTTTTCAGGCAAATCTCCTGCTTGTTTCAGTGGGAAGCTTGCCTGACTTTGGAGTGGACTGAGGACTGCAAAATTTGACCCTACAGTAAGTACACAACAAATGGAAGTACGCATATGTGCCTCTTTTATTTTTTGTACAATTTCACACCCACAGGCTATAAGAAAGAAATCTTCAGAATCTGTTCAAATTGACTGTCTCATAATTTATAATGTCTGGTTTTGCGACTGAATTCTAAATTGAGGCTAATGTGTGTTGAGAGCTTCCCCA